TCTCTGCTCTCCTCTATTTCTCGGTCACTTTCAGTGTTGCTCGCTTGGCTCCTATTTTCTTTTCAGTCGCATAAGGCAACTGTTAAATAAATAAAGTTTCACTCCAAGTTTTCCTCCCTAGCCTTCTTCCTTTCTCTTTTTAACGAGATAAGCCCACCGCGTCTCTTTTTTCTCTCTCTCTCCCAGAAGAAATCTACGCAACGTCCTTGATTAAAACTCATTTTTCCCCTTTTTTTTCTTAATTTCCTTGGATCCCGCCAGACGTAACTTTTTTTACGCGTCGTCGATTGGTTCGTCCTTCCCGCGAATAGTTGTTTGGCGTCAAACGTCTGAAAGAGAGCGAACGTTGGTTGTAAAGTTTAGGTTCAAGTTTATCAAGAATACAGACATTCTCTTTCTCATCTGAGAACGTCTGAGAATGGTGGCCTGGTAAGAAGTGGCGGCTAATCGCTGTTTCGCTCTTTGCTGTGTGTGTGAACTTTCGTGTCCCGGGTATCGCGTAACACGTGTACTCGGAGTACAAGTTATGTGCCAAAAATTTCACAATAACGAACTTTGACGACCAGTCATACGCGAAAGATCCACGTTCGTAGTTCAAGGATACTTCAGTACTAGAACTGTCAACGATCGAAACACGAAACTTCCCTTAGAGAACACGATACAACGGAAGTCTTCACGAATGTATAAACAAAACACTATTTCATACCTAAAAGATTTCAAAAACGAAAGAAGAAGAGAATTATAAATTGATACATTTTGAGTCCTTTGGCGGCACGCGTTTTCACTGCGATGGATAGGATCATAAGGAAGAGTGAATGAAAATGCCAATTTTCCTCTTATTATATTTAGGAAATTTTTTATTATATATAGGAAATTTTCAAAAAGTAAAAGGAAAATTTGTACAAAAGTTTAGTTTTACTGTAAAATAGAAAATAGAAACAAAAATATGATAGAAATTGTGCGAGAAAGACGAAATCTCGACTACGAATGTAATTGTTTTGCTCAGCATGTTAGTAATTTGAAATGGCGTTCAACTTCAGTCCTCGCTGGAACGAGAGGTGCCTGTAGTAGGCCCTTCACGTTGCTCGAATCAATCTCAAAGGCGCCTGGCAAGTGTTATTGACAACAATTACATCTTCCGTACATTAGTCATACATCATTTAAACATGATCATTTCATTTAGTACCCTCGAAATGAAAAGGTGTGGTAATAAATTAATCACAGAAAGACACAGAAAGACGTAGTGTGTATTAAGACATTTCCGATATTTCGAATTTGTACCACGCTTTTCCAGATTAGTACTTTCCGAAATTATTAAACATATTACGAGATAAAGCTCAAAGTGAAATGTTAAATTTTCAGTCAAACGTACACTGACAATTCAATTCACAAAATACGAATAAATACGTAGCATTGGTTAGTGTAATTCGGTGCAATTTGGATTGTTTCAATGTATTTTCTGATGAACGCACGCCGACGAGGAATATCGTCGTTCTATATATCGTCTATCACTCCTATCCTGCGTGTGTTACGCGCGGTACGTGTCAAAGTCTGCCGTAGCCATGAGGTTAATAAACAGTGAAAGTCAAAGAGCAAGAAGAATCGGGCGTGAAGCGAGAAGTTATCGCGCTTGGTTGGTTCCGCGCGGGTCGCGGCCAGTTTTCGACGATGGACGTTGCCGGTTGCTTATTCGCGATTCACGCTCGTTCGGCCGGCGAACAAATCTGGAAAATGGATCAGGCGAGGAATACACGGCTGGCCGTAAGTGGATCAAAGCGGCGGCCGTAGCTCGTCCCGTGAATCGCTTTTATCCATTCACAGGAGGAATTTGCACGAACCGAGAACGCGTGCCTATCGCCAGTGTATGTGTGTATGTGTGTTCTCTCTCTCTCTCTCTCTCTCTGTCTCTGTCTCTCTCGTGCGTGTCCGTTGCATGCGCTCTCTCACGCGAGACCGTGCGCCTCTGCGTGCCTCGGGTATTTAAACGTTTCCACGTGTGTGCAAGAGGAAGCCCTCGCTCGCGCGTTAAATCACCTCAAAGCTCATCGTCCGTCCATTCAAAAACTCATTTCCAGGATAGCGAGTCGCTCCGACTTGCGCGAATTTGCCGCGGATGTGCCTCTTCGCAGTGACGCCGATTTTCGATCGAGGTGTAGTTGGGTGGCTGTTGACCCTTTCGTGGTCACGTGAAAAAGTCGTCGATCAGTCGGACAAATACACATGTACTTTTGAAATTTTCGTGAACGTCGTTGAAGAGGAAAGAAAATCGCCTGCTTTCAGTATAGTAGTATTTTGTATGTGTACTCTTGTAGGATATAACGGGTTACTAATTAATAAGATATAGATATCACGCATTTTAAAATTATCGAAGCGAACTTATCACTGAGAAATAGAATAAAAAAGCAAAAGGAAGAAAATTTTTTTATCTTTCGCAATCTCCAATTTTTCCTACAAGCGCGTAAAACCTGACTCCTAGATATTAGTTTACGAAAGTTTCGTCTCACGCTGAAGTAGCTCACCGGAAAGATCCTTTAATCAAGAGTTTTTCATCCAGCGGTATAAATAGTTTGAAAGACGTGCCGATCGCGGTTACGACAGACGTGAAATCGCGATTTTGCCGGAAATAATGACGATATAAATGAAAATGAGCCAGCAGGTGTACAGAACGACTTGTGTGTGTCTCTCTCGAATCGATGAACGTGTCTCGTCGGTGATTTCATATTTCACCTAATAGGTCAATACCTACCGAATTTCTTCTCGATCGATCACGGCCGCGGTGTTTCGATTTCTCGCGAAAATAGACTCGCCGAGTCGCGTCGCTGATTAATAGATCTCTTTCCCCGCGGCTTCGTCGAAACGCCGACAAATTTCGAGATAAAAGTCTCGAGGGAAAGTAGATCGGCTGGTAAGAGCGAGCGAGACTGGTTAACCGGGTGCCGCGTGTCGCGGTGCGTCGTTTCTTGTTTAACGATGCGGGCTGGTCGCGTTACGAGCGCGTATATATTTTACGATGTTTTCGGCTCGCGTCGCGTTACGAAACGGTAGAACGGGAGCGCGATTAGAGTTGCGGAGGAGCTCCGTGAAAAGAGACGAGTTGTTGGTAGGACGCTGAGACGAAGAGAGCGGCGAGGAAAAAGACAAAGAGAGCAGCGAAGGAAAGAGGAGACGCAATTGAGCGAGGTCTGGGTGGAAGGGAAGTCCCTGACCTGGTCACCTAAGCGTTCCTCTCTTTCATTCCTCGGCGAGTTTCCCTCGCTGGTTTCTTGCGGCATTGCGTTTATGTCATCTTCCAGCTCGGATCCCTTTCTAACGCGTAATTAGCCAGACACCAAGACGGAGATCATTCTCTGGCTCTCGAGAATCCTTTTGGCTCGTGATTCGACGAAAAAAAAAAAAAAAAAAAAAAAAAAGAAACGGAGAAGAAAAAATCACGTTGCTTTGCTCTCAGCGTTTAGCAGTCGAAACAAATCTCTCGGCTCGGCCAGTTTCGTAAAAGTACGAGACTCGCAGAAATTTGAAAATTTCGTGAAATTCGAAAAAGATTGGACGCCGAGAGAGACTTGGAACAAGATTTCGTCTTCGTCTATCGGCGAAAAGTTGATGCTCGTTCTTCTTCAGCTTGTTGCCTCGATCGGCTCGCAGTTATTTTCCCGGTTGTCTCGTTTGCTCGCCGGCCGCTTCTTATCGATCGCTTCTTCTTGGTTGGTCGCTTGTACGAGATTCGCTGTCGTCTGAAATCCAGTCGATAGGAAGGGGCGGTGAAGGAAGCGAGCGGGCAGATTCGCGCGCGGAGCGGCGCGCGTTAGCACGAATTAATGATTTTCCTCGAAAATTGCACTCTCGGCGAGGCGGACGATGCATCGGAAGCTCGTTAAAGAACCGGCTGGGGTAGCGAACTCGCTCGCTCGCTCGCTCGTTCGTTCGTTCAGGTCGCTCGGTCAGAAAAAGGGTCCCGGCGCCGAACAAGTGTGCGTGATTTATAGCGCGCTCATTAATCACGTTAAGTTTCCACGGTGGCTCTCCGCCTCCTTATTAAACCACGATTTGATCTCATTGTCCGTAAAGACAAAGGCAGAGAGACGCGGGCGGATCATAAACGCGCACACGAGCTGTCTGTCTGTTACATTGTGCACGTCTGTGCGGCACAATATAACGCCTGGTCGAACGCCAGTTTCTCCTCGCCCCCGGAGGAGAACGTCGTAAACTTGCCAGCCGCTGTTACGCCGCATTAATTATTATCGCTCGTACATACGTATGGCACGCAGTGAGTTTCTCTGTACGTGCGGTTCGCACGCGCAGTTTTCTCGCTGAAATCGTTCGATCTGGTCGCGTAATCGCCCGAATTTTATACCTTTTCTCTTCCTGTTCACAAACCGAGGAAGGTCGTATCCTCGATCGAGTTTTTCGAATTTAACGTAGAGACGAAGAATCGAAAGAATTGGCGAACCCAATGAGATATATATAATAATTTTAAATTTATATTTATATTATTAATTATATTTATAAATTTAGTTATTAAAATTTTATGATTTCGAGATATTATCCGTGAAAAAACATTTATAGAATATCATACATTTTATATTGAAATAATATTAAAATTTAGAATAATTATATTTATTATTTCTGAATTATTTCTTTTTATTTCACTTTTTTGAACATTTTTTCATATATATATATATATATAGGTTGGTCACTGAAAGACTGAATGATATAAAACAAAAATAACTGTTACAAACACATGTTCTTTTAATCTTTTATTATTTTCTTTGAAAATATAATTAATGGATTCTTTTTCAGTATTTTTTTTTCTATAACCTACAAAAAAAGAAAATGAACAAGTTGTGAATTTTTCGGACCCTTCAGTTTTTCAATGGCCACCCTATATGTTATTGGCCTCTACGTAGAGAGAGTAGAAGAGCATCACCTTGTCGACTATTTCGACTATTCGTTACGATTGAAACGCCGAATGCTAACGGTTCGCGCGATGCTTGTGATTTCAGGTGAGTCCGGACGCCCGAGACAGCACGACGCAGCAAATTCAATTGAAATTGGGCAACTATTCTCTGGTGAAGCATCTTCTGGACGAGCCGAAACGGCTGATCGGCATCGAGGGTGTACCGCCGAGTCCTGCCCCGCCTCCGGCCGTGTGCCTTCGGCTGAGTTCCAATTCGGTCGGCTCAAATTCCAGGAGCTCGCCCTCCTCTCAGGAATTCAAGAAACCCGGAGGACCGAGGACCGACGGTAGCGGTTCGTCCTCGTCGTCGTCGTCGTCATCCTCGGCATCATCGTCGGCGGCGTCTGCTTCGTCGTCGTCGAATCATCCACAACAACAACAACAACAACCACCACCACCATCACTACCACCACCACCACCACCACCACCACAACAGCAGCAACAACAACAACAACAACAACAACAACAACAACGCGGCGGTTTCGTGAAACCGGCCGACGGAAAGCCCCCGTACGGAGGTAGGGGTAGCTACCCTGGCCAGTCGGTGAAGCTGCACGGGGCCAGTGGCAACGATCATCGAAGCCACGGTTTATTACCCCCCAAAGGACCGCCCACGAATTCACCTGGGAACGGTGCGCTCGTTAACAATTCGAGTATCGGGAATTCCAGCGGCAGCAGGCTTCATTCTGTCAGCAGCAGACTGTCCAGGTTACCTCTCGATAACGTGAGTATCGATTTCCATTGTTTCGTGGCCATCGCGCCGTTTCCACCGCCTCCGCTTCCGTCGGTACACCCGTGCTTTCTTTCTTTTTCTCTCTCTTTCTCTCTCTTTCTGACCTATGTCGCGCTCTCCTCTCCCTTTTTTCCTTTCTTTTTTTTTTTTTTTTTCATTTAATGCTTTTTTCAGCGTCTCGACGCGCGTGTCGAAGATCTTTCGGATCACCGTTCCCTGTACGTTTTCCTGTATCCTAATATTTCCTCATTTTCGAGTAACGCCTCGGGTCGCTGGGGTCCGCGTTCGTCGGCGCGGTGCCAATGCTCCACAAGGGTGGCTCGCACCCCTCCTTTTTAATCGCTTTATCGACGCTCTCCTCCGATTTTCTTTTTCATTTGTCGTTAAACGAGGCTGGAACGCGAGTCGCTGGATTGCCAGTCGGAAAGATAATCGAATCGGGATAGTAGTCGCGATTGCACTTGTTGCACTCGATTAGTACCTCGTCGAATCTTCTCGGGTTCCTCTCTCGACGATACGTTCACCGACTTTGGAAACGGGTGGGGGGGATCAATTTGACGCTCGTTCGGTCGGAACAATTTTTCCCTTTGCTCGTAAGTTCGCATTTCTACGTGTTCTCTGTACTGGAGCCCTCTTGCCCTCCAAACATTTTTCGATACTATCGATCGTATCCGGCAACGACGCCCGCGAGTTGCGAAATAAATTATGAGTGTCCCCCGTCGGCGTTGGAGGCCGACGGAAGCGCCAAAAAAGAGTTAATCGAAAAAGTTGAAGTATCGATCGGGAATTTTCACGATACGCGTCGAGCCAGGGCATAGTTCTCCCTTTTATCGATCGTCGTGAAAAGATCAAACATTCTAGTGGTGGAAGAGGGGGGGGGGGGGGGGGGGGGGGGGGAGGTGACGGAGGGCATTAATCGGCGCGAAACGATAATAAAGAGGTTATTACCGGCGATTCTGCCCTTCCAGCCCCTTCCATTTCCCCTTTCCCACCCCCTCTTGTCGAAACGTTCTCTCGACCTCGGTATTCCGGTGAAAGCATCGCGGCGACAGGTTCGTTGACGGGAAACGAATTGCTTTTCAATAGAAATCTCGCTGGAGGAATACACGCGCTACGGGAAGAAGGGGACGAGCCGGTGGTAGGGGAAGAATGGAGAGGGGAGGGGGTGAGTTTGGTCGAGTCCTATTACGCGTGACTCCTCGAGGTGCAAATTTCATTCAGATTGACTATCGATCGAGTCTCCACCGATTCGGTCTGTCCCCGTGTTTCTATCATTCTCCTCTTCTCCTCGAGCGCGTCCCAACTGTGCCGCTCCTCTTCCCTTCTCCGGTCTACTTATGCAATTAGAGTTAGCCGGAGAAACGGCGACGGTTCTCTCTTGGCTCTGGCATAGTCGAGATAATTGATTCCCCTATTGGTCCTTCTCTCTCTCTCTCTCTCTCTCTCTCTTTCTTTTTCCTTCGTTTCTTTTTTCTTCTTTTTCCTACTTTACTGTCTTTGCTCACCGTTGACTCGTTCGTTCACCGGTCGTTCGCCGGTATCATCCGCGAAATTAGCTCGGGAATTACCCGTGACACTCGAGAGCATGTCGAAATCCCGAAGAAATGGGGATAACTAAATCGTTCATTAATTTCTCTGTTAAATATTTTTCTTTTTCACTCGTAGTGTCGTTTCATTGGTGACGTTTGACAGGTTCGCGACGGTGTCAGTTTATTATCCCTGCGGGCTGACACTTTATTATTCGTTTGGCCGGTGTCGGACACTTTATCGAGTCTGATAAATACACTTGATTTCTATCGATATAAAAATGGGACGTAAGGAAAACTATAATTTGCATAACCGTAAAAAATACACGTTCGGTGCCGTCTCGAACGTGTTGAACTGAAAGTTGTTCTGGTATTTATGGCCGGTAATTCACTCGACCGCTGTCACTGTACGCCAACGTAAACGACACGCGATCATTTCTCTGATCGCGAGATGTCTCTCACCCCGGTTTTTCCTCCTCGATTCCAGCCAGAGCGTCCTCCTTCTTCCGCAGTTTTTCACGTTTCATGCCCCGCTCGCGATTATCTCGTCTTCTCCCGGGTTCCCCTGTCGCCGTGTCCTCAGGCTAACAGTCGCCAGACTCCTCCCCAGCTGTTCCCGGTGCTCCGTTTCTCTTCCCCATCATTTTTCAGCTTTCCAGGTCCACGCATTTTCATCCATTGTCTCCGCGTTTTCCTCTCAGCAATGACTACTCAACGACGACGACTCGTTCGGTGGTAATGGGCGCCCGCGTCGTGCCCGGCCCGACTCGCTCTTTTCAACGAGAGAGTGTTGATTAATGATCGCTCGAGAGCTCTGTTCGTGATAAATCGCGAACAGAACTCGCACAAGCCCTAAACACCGCAGCGGTAGTTGCGTCGTTGAATTGCGATCGTTTTAATTAACAACGCGCGCGGCGGAATCTGCCACGTCCCGACTCGGTTATCCTCCTCCGTTTAACCTTTTGCGCTGGAACGTGCCACGCACGTCGACAATTTTTCAAAATTGCAATATTTCCTTAGTTTCAAGTATATTTAAGTATAATCCAGGCAAAACAAATAATAAATTTATTACTTCTCAATAATTTCTATACAGTGACATACCAATGAGTTCAAAAGAGAAAAAAAGCGACGATTTATTATATACGATTCGGTCACTCGTTATGGTCCGCAATCAGTTGCCAGCGCAAGTGGTTAACCTTTTGCGCTGGAACGTGCCACGCACGTCGACAATTTTTCAAAATTGCAATATTTCCTTAGTTTCAAGTATATTTAAGTATAATCCAGGCAAAACAAATAATAAATTTATTACTTCTCAATAATTTCTATACAGTGACATACCAATGAGTTCAAAAGAGAAAAAAAGCGACGATTTATTATATACGATTCGGTCACTCGTTATGGTCCGCAATCAGTTGCCAGCGCAAGTGGTTAACCTTTTGCGCTGGAACGTGCCACGCACGTCGACAATTTTTCAAAATTGCAATATTTCCTTAGTTTCAAGTATATTTAAGTATAATCCAGGCAAAACAAATAATAAATTTATTACTTCTCAATAATTTCTATCCAGTGACATACCAATGAGTTCAAAAGAGAAAAAAAGCGACGATTTATTGTATACGATTCGGCCACTCGTTATGGTCCGCAATTAGTTGCCAGCGCAAGTGGTTAACCTTGCGCTGGAACGACGTGCCACGCACGTCGAGAATATTTTATCTCAAAATTGCAATATTTTTTCAGTTTTAAGTATATTTAAGTATAATCCGGGCAAAACGAATAATAAATTTATTACTTCTCAATAATTTCTATCCAGTGACATACCAATGAGTTCAAAAGAGAAAAAAAGCGACGATTTATTGTATACGATTCGGCCACTCGTTATGGTCCGCAATCAGTTGCCAGCGCAAGTGGTTAACCTCTTGCGCTGGAACGACGTGCCACGCACGTCGAGAATATTTTATCTCAAAATTGCAATATTTTCTCAGTTTTAAGTATATTTAAGTATAATCGAGGCAAAACAAATAAATTTTTTACTTCTCAATAATTTCTATCTAGTGATGTCATACCGACGAGTTCAAAAGAGAAAAAAATATTTTTTCAGTTTTAAATGTATTTAAGTATAATCCAGGCCAAACAGATAATAGATTCATTGTTTCTCAATAATTTCTATCCAGTGATATACCGACGCGTTCGAAAGAAAAAGAAAGCGACGATTTATTGTATACTGTTCGGTCATTCGTTATGGTCAGCGAACCAGTTGCCAGCGCAAAGGGTTAATTCCACAGGCATTGCCCCGGAATCGGGAATTGTTGCGAACGATTTCGCGACAGGGGGGCAGAGAAAGAGAAAAGAAAATTTGTTTGGTCTTGGCAGCGACTCGTTCCTTTTCAACTTTCTCGTTTAACCCTTCCGGTTATTCTCGAGTCGGCTGCACAGTGATTCAGCTGACAAAACTGGGGAAAGTTGATAGAATTTTTCTTGCAGGGAACAAGTTCGAGGCCTGGCGCCGCCGAGAATTCGGCCGATGTGGAGAACATTCTAAAAGTAAGAGCTTCTTGCTTTTTTTCTTTGTGCTGTTTAATGTGTCCCAGGTCATGGGTGTCCAACCTTTTCGAAAAAAATTTGCCGAGGGTTTACATACTGTCCATCAGTTGAATCTAACCTATTATTATTACTTATGAGGATATGAACAGTTCATTAATATCTGGTTTGATAATGGCAATACGATAAGAGTATTTTCAACATGCTCATCTAAAGTTCTTCTTCTTATTTTATCTTTTGCGTATTTTATGCAGGAAAAAAATCTGGTCGCAAATATATAAATACACCCCCCCAAAATTTGATTACACAGTGTTGGTCACTTGGTTGGACACACCTGTCCTAGGTGGTTGCTTGTCGTTTCAAAAACCCCTCTTTTAAATTCATCATTGTCAGTTTTTTACGCTGAACTCGTAAGCAAGAACTTCATTCTATTTATCGCGCTACGCGGCCCATCTCTCGGTACGATTTCGCAACGATTGGCGGAAGGAGAACGGTTTCTACGAAGCCCACGTGATCGTTGTGGCCGTGTCACGTACTTGGAAGAGTATTGCGCGACGAACATCGAACTTCGCCTTTAGCCTGGCAATCGCTTGGAAGTTGGGCCTGGTCGATAAGCCAATTTTCTCGCCGATACAACGTTATCTCCGCCGCGGTCATATCGTGTGGCTGTCGTTCAACCGAATCGACCCGCCGTTTTGGTTTGGCCGTATCGGCTTTCGTCACCGGCCCGTTCACAATTTCGCACCCTGCACGGCGAACTTTCGTCGCCGGGTCGTTAATGGAGTCGGCGGCCAAACCTTCCAGTATTTTTCATTTCCCACCGCGGAGAACTCGCGGCGATCGATCTCGTGTGCCATCCTTCTCGTGCCCTTGAAAAATCTTTCCCCTTAATTCCAAAGAGGAGAAACGTGTTGGAACGATCGTGTTTCGCACCACGTTTCTATTAACGTAAGCGCGCGTATCCTTGAGGCGCGAGTTCGATTCGAAGCTATTTCGAGCTGGTAAATCCACGGACACACGGCCATGAAACTAATCGAAAGTTTGGCCAATAGAGAGCCGATAGAGGTTGATCGGTCGATGGTGGATGCTAGACGAAAAGTAGTCGGCTTTCCTTCTACCTCCACGCCCACGCCTGCGATGCACACGGTCGCGATGCACCGTGATTTTCAGCGAACGAGGAGAAGGAGTCAAAGGATCGCTCGGCGCGGCAGTCGCTCGAGGCACCTTTATAGCCATTGGCAAACAACGTTTGCCCGACGACCTACATCGAGTACCGACCACCAGGATGGGTGCGAAGGAGGGGGGGGAGGAGCGGGTGCGGAAGAGGTTCGAGGAGGAAGGTTATCGCGGAGAGAGCAAAGCTCTGAATTCTGTTCGTCCTTTCGAGTGGTCCTCGAGTCACGTGCCAGCGTGATTACCGGCAATCTCCATCGGCGCGCAATCGCCGCCGTTTCCGTTTAAATCAACACCGCAAAGCGAGACCTGCTGATCCTCTCCCGGGTTCTCTCGAGTTCTCCGCAATCGACCATCCGCTTCGTTACGTTACGCGTCTGCATAGTCTGCTGACTTCTCTCATCGATCGGTGACGGTAGTACGATGCTACTACTCGCGATGTTTCAATTCTTCATCGAGAAAGAGATAGATAGATAGAGAGAGAAAGAGAGATAGAATACCAGCTCTCGAAACAATTTGTCCCGTGTGTGTGTGTGTGTGTGTGTGTGTGTGTGTGTTTCGTGAACTCGATTTCATCGGCGCGGACAGCCGGGCTCGATACACGGTTGCAATCGGGCTGATAAACTGCCGGCTGACCCAGTTCTCTTCGTGAATAGAGAATAATGACGGCGCGGGAATAGCTGGCCCGCTCGTGGGAGTCTTGGAATCCGATCTTCCCGACTTCGCCCGACGCGAGACACGTTCGGTGTCGAACCGAAGTCTCCTCTCTCGTCGGAAACGCTCGCTATACTCGTTTTCGACTGGTCGATTGCCCGTATAACGAGATTTTCGCTTATATATAACGCTTTCTGGTCTCGGGATCGGTAAAAGCTCCAGCCTCCCCTCCCCCCTCCCGGTCGGGGTGTTAATTTATGGACACGCGGCTTAACGGCGATTATCAGCAAATTGATATTATTATCCGCGATATATATCGTGACACGCTCGATCGAATATCGAGATATACGGCGTGGTGCCAAGCGATGAAAATGTTCTCGCGCGTATCGGTGCTCCGTCGATTGATACCTGCTCCGCCATAGAGCTCGTGGGTGTTTTCCCTTTCGATCAAGTGGTTGGTCGTTCCGTTTCCTTCTCCTTGGGAATGTGGACTCGGGAATTCAGAAAATATTTGCACGCTGTTTAACGTATTTTGTTTTGCAGCATTTCTTTCATTTTATTTTTAACTTTATTGCCATCGACGGGCTAAATCCCTATTTATATAGTTGCACGATATGAAGACAACAATAAAAATAAAGTAATCAAGTTTATAAAATATTGCTAGGGATATTAAATTCAAACAAAGATACGTGTAAATGAATTTAGGCAGTCAGTTAGGATATATATATATATATATGACTCTAGAAAAGTTTGTAAAACGTTTATCACGCCGTCATATAATGGATCGTTTTCCGATTGTCGAGACGTTCGTGACCGCGTTCCCTTAATTCACGCCTGAACGTCGCTGCCAGGAATTTTTTTTATCGCGATACAAGCACGCCACCTTTTGCCACCTCTTACCCTTTCATAATCTATATCGGAATATTTTCTAACTCAATAGGGAGAAGGTTTTCAAAGCTTTCGAGATCATTCAGGGCGTCGAGAAATTTAACAATCTTCGTACGTGTCGCAGAATTATCTTCATCAATGTCAGAGCAACGCAACGCGTTATCCCCGGAACGTTGTCCGAAAAATCCGAGCAATCAAAGTTGACGTCAATTCGCGCGAAGAGTTTCGTTATCGTTAGAGTTTTGCCAGAGTAAAGAATGCACCGAGAGTGTACTTTGATAAAACGTTGTTTTGGCAACGAGGGCAGGCAAGAATATCGTTCCCGCGACGAGTTTCAACTTTCAACGCCCGACAGAGAAAGAGGAACGATGGTTCTCGCGTCGGCGACGAAAGGGCACGCGTCGTGGAAATTCGGAATGGAATCGATTCGCGCGTCTTTCCCTCGAAAACCGCCGTGTCTCCGTCGTTTCGTCGAATCGATATCTGCACACCTACTATCGCCGCGTGGTTAAACAAAGTTGAACAGAGAGACAGAGAGAAGCACAAGGATTCGAATCCTCCCTCTAGTCTGGCAGAATTAAAGAAACGGAGCACCGTCGAGCCGAGTCGATACGTTTCTCCGAGCTTTTCCACTTTCAGCGCGAATTTATGACGATACCGGCGGGGGCAGTCGTCGACTGGTTTTGCTAGCTTCGCTGGGTTCAACCGCCCCTTCCACCCGCGTTTTTCCCCTCCGTCCGCGTCGCATCCTCCTTCCTGTAGACCGGCAGCCTAGCCGTTTCGTATAGAAGCAGACCGTCGAGGCCCATGAATTATTCTCACGGCTCTGCCCGTGGGAAAATACGAGAGTTGCGCCAGTAGGCATCGTAAATGCGGCTGCTAATTGCGCTCGCCGCCGCCGACGACGACGACGACGACGACGACGACGACGACGACCGTTAACGCGGCTCCTGAATATCGCGTTCTTTCGCCACCGTTATCGCCCACCCTTCGTCTCGCGCGACTTTCCCCATCCCTTCGCTTTCCCGAGGGTCTCTTCCTCTTTCCGCCTCTGTTCGCCGATTAATCGGAAGATTTTCAGCTTCCATTACGGCTGACTGGCCGGATCCCGGACCCGCGGCTATATTTAGGCAAGCAAACTCTTGCCGGACGATCGCCGTTGCCGCAGCATCTCGCGCGTTCCAGCTTTTTCCAGCTTAAATTCGATTCCCGTGTAACCCCTATAAATCGCGGCTAATCCAGTTTTCGGCCGCGCGCACGGTCCACCGAGCTCCTCTCTTTCTCTCTATCTGTCTGAATTTCTCTCTCTCTCTCTCTCTCCTTCTCTCCGCGCCACATTCGATCGCCGATTCCGGTCGGAGCTCACGTTCTCTCGACGCGTTTTTTTTTCTCTTTTTTTTTTTTTTGCCCTCCCGCGTTATTCCGGCAGACCGTTCTTCCCCTCTTTAGTTCCGGTTCTCCATCCCCTGCAAGCACCGTCGGTTAACCGTGCAGCACGCCGAGAGAAGACAATTAGACCGAGTTAATAAGGTCAATTTGCGGTTGATCGAGTTAACTCGCAGCCAAATGCTTCGCAGAGTTGACTCTCTGATGCGCTCTCTGACCGGATCCTCGCGGAGATCTTACGAGAAAATTTCAGCTCGATGTGTCAGCTGCTACGCTGCGCTCCCTTTGTGTCATTCTCACGACGGATAAATTTGCGAGAACGAGATTTGTTTTTTTTTTTTGGTTTCTCTGAACACTGATAATGATTAAAATTAACCTCTTGCGCTGGAATGACGTGCCCAGGCACGTCGAGAATTTCTTGTTCCAAAATTGCAACATTTTCTCAGTTTTAGGTATATTTAAGTATAATCCAGACAAAATAAATGATAAGGTTATTACTTTTTAATAATTTCTATTCAGTGATATCATATAGCGACGAGTTCAAAAGAAAAAGAAAGCGACAAATTATTGTTCGGTCACTCGTTATGGTCGGCAGTCAGTTGCCAGCGCAAGTGGTTAATAGTTCGCACTAACCTGGACCAGAGATGTACGCTCTCTGATCTCTGTGACTGGTTCTATTGAAGATGAAAAGAGAGAGCTAATGTGTCTCTGAATATTAACAATAAATAAAATTATCACACTATCTGTGGGTTATAGCGTCAGCTAGGCTCATGCCTAGCGCGTGAAAATCAGTGAAAAATACACTTTTAAAAAACAGGTGATATCTTCAAAGCTAATAGTAAAAAATGTACCCAGAAACAGTGCAGATTATGTGCTGCATTCTGCACATTATTAATGCTCGACCCGTCTTTCGACGCCAGTTTGCGCCGATAGTGTGCTAAAATCGTTGGAACTAAAATTAATAGTCGTACTAACCCGAATGAGATGTACGCTCTCTGATCTTCGTGACTGGTTCTATCGAAGAGAGAGAGAGAGAGAGAGAGAGAGAGAAAACTAGTGTTTCTCCGAATACTAATAATAAGTAAAATCAAAATCGTTGGAAATAAAATTAATAGTTCGCACTAACCTGGACCAGAGACGATCTCTGTGGCTGGTTTTATCGAAGGGAGAAAGTTCTAGCGTTCGACGATTCCCGATAACAGTCCTCTCCGGAGGCTCCTCCGTTGCAATCGGCGTTACGTTACGAGATGGAAATACCGCTGGCGGTTCGGCGTCGTCTGTTTGTCCCAGGTAAATCGGCGGCGTCCGCCATCGAATGGAATATTCGACGAGGATAATATTTATCCAGGGAACAGATCCGAACCGGTTCGGAAAAACCGTTGGCTGAAATAAAGGATTCCATCGAGAGCGGCGGCGGGGGTGGCGTGTCGTAAATTCGCGGAGGGTTGGTCGCGCGGGATAAATAAAAGTAGCGGCGCGATGTATCCTCCGCGTGGAAATGGAATACGCGTTGAACGTGCCGATCGATCTGCGCCGCGGTGAATCGGTCCGTTTTTCAATCGATGGCCTCTCTCTCTCTCTCTCTCTCTCTCTCTCTCTCTCTCTCTCTCTCTCTCTTTCTCTTTCTCTTTTTCTCTGCCGGTCCATTAGGCGAGCGTAGGCAAACTCGTATCGCTACTCGTTGCTTAAGCTTCTCCCTGGCAGGAATCGGCCTTGCCCGTTTCCTTCGAGCGTTCACCACCGATCGTTCACTGACACAGGTTTCGATCCTCGCGCGATACAAAAAAAAAAAAAAAATAACGATTGCTTTCAATTTTTATGAGAAAAGTTGCAGCGATTCGATAAAATATACGGGTAAATGTTAGAAATAACGAATGGCGGGGGGGGGGGAGGGGGGGGATCAGATTCTCTAGGTTGATCCGAGTTCTTTCACCCCTTGTCCAAGTACGCTTTACTTTCGTAAATAGCCATAGACTGTGCCAATACATGCGATTTTCTTGGCTGGCTCGCTAGTCACGCTACCGATCGTCGAACCCTTTGTTCTCTCGCCTGTTAAGGATAAATAATTCAGCGACTGTCGCCGAGGACGGATTATCTTATTGTTTTCCGTCAAGTTTTCGGACAATCTCGCCACGATCCTCGTCCAAACTAGTTTCCAACGATCGAAGCGTTCTCCGGACGAGGAGTGGTAAATGAAATTCGATTATAAAACACGGAATAACTTTTTCTTAGGGAGTAACCACACGGGATTCGACTCGGGGGTCGAAACGTTTCGATCGGATCGGTTCTCTCGTTGCCGCGAATCCATTAGGCGGCTAGTGGAATCCCCATAACTCGCGGTGGCGTTTCGTGTTCACGAGGAATAAAGCGGCCGGCCGCGAGTGTAACTGGTTCGCACGAAATGGTAGGTGGCGCGGATAGGGTGACTCAGCCCCCGGAGAATTCTCTCTCTCTGCTCTTGGCAAACGTGTCGAGTCCTTTTTCGTTTGGACCTGGTGTGTGTGTGTATGTGTTTGTGTGTGTGTGTGTCGTCGGCGCGGCGTTGTGTGGCTATGGTCGTCGAGCTGGTCGGCGGGATGCAAATGGACGATTTCGTACGCGAGTCACGCGTGTCTCGAAGCTGCACACGGCCGAGCGAGAATAATAAGTCGCGATTAACGACACCGGTTCGTTTCGTTTCGTTTCTTTTACTCTCTTACTCTTTTACTCTTTTCTTTTCTTTCTTTAGTATTTTCCCTTCTCTCTCTCTCTCTCTCCCCGTTTGCGTTCCTACCCCTGAATCGACAACAGGGTCAACATGTGAGTTGCATCTTCGATTTTGGCCCTGATTTTCTCTCCTCCACGGATCGCGGAGATTCACGCACGATTTAATTAACCGACGTTCTCGCGAGTTATCGCTACTGATGTTCATTTCGTTCACTTGCGAGATCGAGTCCCGTTAACCCGTCTACGGGCCCGAATATTTTCTCACGACTGTAGAAAAATTTATGTAACGTGAAATCGGGAAATATCTGTCTGTGCTGTATCTGCAGATTAACAAAGTTGAATTCAACAGTTTCAACTTTGAAGCAACCTTTGAACACGTTTTATTATGACATTTTTGTTATAACGAGCACGTTTTCTTTGAAGTAACAACAAGCTGTGCACTCGTGTGTATGAAAAGCTCAAGCATGGAATTCCATAAAACAGTTTACGCTTGGCGTTAAACATAGATATACGTTTCGAACGTTTTATTATTTTCTTTTCCTTTTTAAACTTCTTTCCACCCCTTGGTTTTTTGCCGCTTCGCCTCTTTTACCGAAAGTGTTGCATTTCTCCTCTTCTAATTGTTTTATCTACAATTTTTCTTGCTTAACAAACACCGCGGATAGAAGAAAAAATAATGACAATTGCGTGAAACATGGTGCGAAAACATTTACCTTGATATTTACAGCTGATAACTAAGCACGTTATCGAAAAAAGTCGCTCAAGAATACGTGACAAGATGTACACGCCACAATTTTGAAAAGGAATTAAATTATTTAAGGAAATAGTGCGCGACTTGAAAGTTGCACGAGATCATCCCATAGAGGGTTAAATTTGGTTTTTTCGGCGATGGTCGACGAGATCGGCACGGCGACGGGCGTCAATTACGTGACGTGACGTGACGGCTCGCGTGAACGGCCGAGGGCCGGATTCTCGTTCGGCGGGAAAAATGTAGAGCGGAAAAATATCGGGACGTTAACTGGCAACGATGGTTCTGGCCGTTCGTTTCCGCTCGAAGGATAACGCTGCCATTCCCGTTCACCGTTATATTCACGACGCGCCGCGTTACATTATGCATGATCGTCGAGCGATCCCGTCGTCGAGCGGCCGTGCGTTGTTCTTTTTTCGCAGGACAATCCGTACATCCCCGTGCGTATATGCAATATTTCCGCGCGTCTGTGTTTTTCTCCCCGTGTGGATTTCCCGAACCCGCCGCAACGGAGAAAACGCACAATTCCAACGTTGTTTCGGACGTGGGTTTCAAAGTTGCAAACAACGTACTACGTCACAGCTGTTTTCTATCGTCGATCTTTTTGTTCACGAAGGAAGGAAGGAGAACGATTCTCCTCGTTGGGCTACGAGTCAATTATTTCAAACTTACCTCTCGACGAAACTGGTCCAAGTTTGCAGCAAGGTGACGACGAGACTCGTTTCGTTTACGCGAGCGAGTACGCGGTGCTTTTAATTAAGAACTTGGGCGCCATTTCTCTGAAAAAGAATTTCGCACATATCGAAAGTTTTGCTCACCTAAAGTACAATTACGCGCTCTGTTAATTAATAGTGTGCCCAATGTCCACCACTAGCGATCATTCTTTGAACACGAGGAGGACCAACTCTATGGGCGGACTTAAAATTTCGTTCGCAATTGGAGTAATGTCGTCTTCACTGACGAATCCTCTTTTTTCGCATGATAATTTCCTATGGTCAAACGATCCATGGAAATCCAATTGTTCAGAAAACTGTCAGATATAACAATAAAAGTGTACGCTTGGGGTTTCTTTAACCCTCGCGGATTTGGGACCTTTTTAAAGTTTGTAAAACACCGAAGTTTAACCTCTTGCGCTGGCAACTGATTGCGGACCATAACGAGTGACCGAATCATATACAATCGTTGCTTTTTTTTTCTCTTTTGAACTCATTGGTATGTCACTGGATAGAAATTATGAAGAAGTAACAAACTTGTCATCTGTTTACACCTGGGGTTACATTTCGATATACTTGAAACTGAGAGAATGTTGCAATTTGGGCCAAAGGATCCTCGATTCTTGCGTGGCACGTCATTCCAGCGCAAGAGGTTAACGAAGGAAACTTCAAGAAGATCCCAATTCGATTCCATCTCGAAGCAAGCGTCGAAGAGTATCAAGAGTGTACTCAGAGAAGCAGCGTCCACGTTTTTATCAAACAAGATGGAACCGCGGGAATGAACGAACAGTCAATAGAGAGAGGGAGACCCTCGGGCCGGTTTCTCGGTGAAATTTTCGCGGGCTCGCATAATTCGTGGCGTGGCGCCGCGGTAAACAAGCCCTGTCGTTTTGATCGTAGGAAGAATATAAGCACAGCGAGGTGAAGAGAGGCTTTTGTCTCTCGTGGTTCTTTGTTCGCCCTCGACGGATGTCTCGACGGGTCAATGAATCGGTCCCGACGATTCGCCCGGTGGAAATGCGTTTCGTTGAGGCCGCGCGCGCTTGGTGCCGATGCATCAGACTGCATTGTTCGCGTGTTTGCGACTTCCACTCGGTTCCCTGTGCTCCGATGCACGCTTGCTCGCGCTAATACTTGCTTGGCGCGTGCATTTGCTGTCCACGGACCCACTATGCGTCAATAGACACCAGTTTTTCGAGTTTCACCTGCCAACTGCCCTTCGAATTCGTGGTCCAGACACGCAAAACTGCTCCGAGCCGTTGCTACTGACACGATTGCGTTCGAATTTTGGTTCATCTTGGCGCGTCTTTGCTTTTGCTTGTGCTTTCACCCCCTTCGAGTCGCGTTTCGAGGATGAATCGTGATTGCGCGACCACCACGTCGAGTATGAAAACTCTTAACTGACGATCGATCTCCTCTGTTTCAGGAAATGACCATGCCGCCCACACCTCTGACGGCTATCGCCCAGACGCCGAGGAAAGAACTCGAGTCAAAGTTCACGTTCAATCCAATGCTGGCAAAGGTGAGAGTTCGCTCCTATTCCGTTCGATTGTCGAGATCGATCGTGACAGTGGTCGGGGAAACATACACGTGGCGGTGAATACACCTGTCACCTCCATTTACGCGAGTAGATTGTAATTTATGCGATGATGCTTTTTTTTTTTACACACGATATCGATTCACGTGGTCAGAAAATATATTTCACTAGAATTCGCAAGTGTAACAGTAACAGCAACACGCTGTGCGTTTTGTTTTCTACGAGTTGTGACGTTCAAATTTATGAAAACTCGGCGAAAGACGACGAGTTTGAGAACAAATCCGTCCGAGAGGAAAGATTGACATTAACAATGAAAATGAAGTCGAACTCCCGAGTATTTCAAGCGGCGAGAATAATGAGTTTCGATTGTTTTGACGTAGCGAATAAAATTTACTTCTGTTTTCTGTCATGAACGTCGTCATCATCATTATCATTGGTTTCTTTTTTTTCCGTTAACCTGCGTGAAATAAATATGCATGTCTACAACTCGTACCAGCGTTTCCTTCCAATATTTCCTCTTTTGTACCGATAAATTTTTCATTCGCGTAAAACGAATCCACGTGGAACGGATACTGCGCGTAAATGGAGATACACAGTTATGTGTACGTCACACACACATACGTGGAATAATTCAACGATTTTCGATGAGATAATAATTCGATAATTACGCTCGATCGCGTAAAAGCGTTGAGCGTGGTTACTCGGTGTTGCGCGGTGCGTCGCGTGAAATCGAACGATCGAGTGGGAAGCAGCTGGCAATCTCGCGTGGACGCGTATCGATCGTGGAAACATTTCGAATTGTATCGAGCGGGCCGAGAAGCGTTTCGTGCCACTTGGCACTGTGTCAAGAAGCTCGCGCTCGCCGAGACGGACGCCTTTCGTTGCGGATAAATCGGCTTTCGCGCAACGCCCGCGTGCCCGTTCTAGAAAACCCGACCGACGAACGCTGAAACGGCCCGTTGAAACGCGGAATTTCGGTTGCGGCTCCTCGCGGCTCGCTGTGAAAGCCGTTTCGGCGACGAACGCGAGTCCGATCGATCGATCGCCGCCGCCACCGCCGCCGCCGCCGCCGCCGCCGCCGCCGCCGCCGCCGCCGTTTTCGAGGTTGGCGAGCTCCAAGCTTTCGTGCCACTTGGCTTCGTGTCAAGAGTTTTGTGCTCTTCCCAATGTTGTTTCGTCTCGTTTCGTTTCATTTCATTTCGTTTCGTCTCGTTGTTTTCTCTCGTCAAGGATGAGGAGAAACACGCGTCGAGAAAGTCGGAAAAACGAGCCGCGAGAGATCAACAGTCTTTTGGCGAGAAACGCATCAATTTCGCGTCTCTTTCTTTTTTTTCTAAAACCGAACCCGCACGCGTGACACTCTTTGCTCAGCTGGTTATCGACACGATTAATCGAAATTCGTCAATTTGTTTCGTCGATTTTTATCCTTTGCGACAAAACCGTTCGAACAATTTCGGATCGAAACCAGATCTCTCGACTGCGAGTAGACAAAGCTCGAACAGCAAAGTTCGTAGCTCGTTCGATATTATCGGTCTCGACTAATCATGGTTTCTTTTTTCTCTTTGCAGTTGACCGAAGTGACGCCGCAGGAAGCCACGAAGCCTCCTCAGCCCCGTAAGTAAAGTTTCCATATTATGTCGTTCGCCTCTTGGTTTCGGGGTAATCCCCTGTCGAGTGAAAATGCTCGATGGCACGATCAAAGACGGGAATCCTGTTACGCGTTCTACCTCCGCGGTGCATCGGGAAGCTATCCCATTACGAGACTGACGATAACAAGCCTCTTAATATCGCCACAGCTAACCCCTCGAAGCAGCGAATGTTCGAAGGCCTCCGGTGTCGACTACCCTGTCGCCTTTTCTACGTGATTTCGCGTTAGTTATCGAACCGTGTTCCTCAGCGCAGGATTCGGGATCCACGTTGAGGATGCTCGTGTCTTCGTTACATCGTAACAGTTGTTTGCGTACTATTATACTCACTGTTGAAATCGATCACTGGGAAGATAAGTCGTTTTCGGCCATTGACAAAGATCAATCCAAGTCACATTACGTTTATTGGCCCTGGACCAAGGCCAGAGAAACTGATATCCCCTACACTTTAGAATACTTCGTTCCACCTCGTTCCACGGTTTGCAACGTTCGTTTTGCAAAAATTTCATGAAAAAAAAAAAAAAAGAAAAATAAACGGAAAAGAAAGTGGCACGCGTTTATCCCGAGGGTTGATTTGACGTTTGTCGTCCGTTCGCGCGATCAAGAGATCGGCGAAACAAGCCGAGTTTCATTGTCTCACTGTTCGCAGCCGCTCGGTCGACGCTCGGATATTTCGGGACAGTTTAATCCCGTTTCCCGTTTCTTTTTCAAATTCTTTTATCCCATTTTATTTCGCTCTGGCCTTTGCATGCGGTGACGAAACTGCGGCGTACTAATTTAATCGTTGCGCGCTGCGTTCTTCTTCTTTTTTTTTTTTTTTTTTTTNTTTTTTCCTTTTTGTTTCCAACCGGCGAATCTCGTATTATTCTTTTCAACGAGAAATATTTTCATAAAACCGCGGTGGAATTATTTGCGCGACGGCGGCGTTGTCCCCACCTCCGTCCCGGTTCGAAACAAAGTAGCGCGCGGCCTATGAAAAAAACCTGTGGATTCATTGCGATCCGCAAAAAGCCCCGAACGTCAATTTGCTGTCGCGTTTCGCAGTCACTGACCTTTCCCATTAACTCACCGTCCGGGGAAATTTATATTTGACTCTCGGGCCGGTCGCGCGTACACGGTCGCGCGCGGACAGAGAAATATAGATATGTATACCGTGCAACGCGTAAAATTTACGTTACACCGGCTCCGACTTCGATAACTGTTTACCTCAAACACCTAAAGAGTGGCTTATTTCTTCCTTTTTTTTTTTTTTTCGAGCGACGAGTAAACCTGTCCACCAGAAGCGTGACCGGTTCTTGAGATTTACGCAGTCATAGAAACTGAAATAAAATCATTTTTCACTCTTTCGCGTGACTCGATTCGTCGATACATTTCTTTCGTCACCGTTGTCGTTTTTTACGAAATTGAGCGGTGGCTTATTGAAATTGCACAAATTACACGTACACAATCTTGCGATGAGTACTGTATACAGTGTAACAAAAATAGTACAACACGAAATATAAATTGTACACAATACATACAGTAATTACAAGTTCTTGTATTTGCAATAAATGCAATGAATATAATATAATTACAATGAATATTTATATTTGGAACAAGTGTTACAATGGAATACATACAAAACAATCATTTATAAACACAATAAACATTTATACGATAAAGACTCTGTCGATATAACTAATATACTAATTGTACTACAGTTCGTAATACTTAACTAATAATTCACGATAAATACTGAATATTAAATAATAAAAGTGTTTCAAGATTTTAGCGCGGTATACACTGTGTCTAATCTAACGCTGTTCGTTAGAAATTTTGAGATTTACTCTCTGAGAAAACGTCGATCGTTTGAAAAAAATTAGTTTCTCTAACTTACCGTGGGATACCTTTGACACTTAAAATTCATTTCGAGCCGATCGCGAGAAAACGAGAGAGAGAGAGAGGAGGCAAACTTCGGCAATTTTTAATTTACGGACAAGCGCAGAGAGACGCTGGTCCGTAAGTTTCGCATTTACGTAATGCGTGCGCGCGCCGCCAACTTTTTATCGGGGGTGGTTCGTTGTTTGTTTGCGAAAATTCAAATATTTATTTAGCTTCCGCTGCTGACTCTTTGCGCCGGCGACTGAGGCTCTCGCGTCCAAAACGGGGGTCCGTCGTGGAAAAAAAAAAAAAAAAACGGGGAATCACGCCGGATTGTCCGAGGTCCGGGGCAAAAACCTGTGGATTCATTGATATTCGAACGTTTCTAAACGACGCGGGCGCGGCAGCGGGGGTTGAAACTCGACAGAGAGAAAGAGAGAGAGAGAGAGAGAGAGAGAGAGAGAAGCAAGGGATACTGTTTCATGAATTAACCATCCGACGTGGCGCCTCTCCCTTCCGTTTGCCGTCGATGCTCGAATATACACTCCGGCCGCCACTTTACCCATCGCCGTTACAAGCGCGCGTATTTTCCACCCCCTTACTGTCCTCACGCCGGGCCGCGCTGGAACTGAGAATTCGTTGCTCGCTGGGTAAATTTGAGTTTGCCTTATCACGCGCGTTAAACCGATTTCGCGGCTTTCGCGCGCCTCTGTTCGCCGAATTCCACCCCATTTCGCGCAATTTTCATCCTGTTAGCCCCGCGTCTCGATTCTCGTGTTAGTCTCTGGTCTGTCTATGTTGAATAGATACACGTTCGACGCAAACGAGAAACGCAAATATACGTTTGCAAAATTATATTCCAAAATTATATCGCGCAAGAGGGTTGACACTGAAAGATATCGATAATAGAACGATGGGAGCAGCCAAGCGAGAAGTCGCACGCGACTGCAATCTCCGCGAGCCGGCTCGTGGATCGTTCGGGACTCTTGAGGAACGACTGGCAGAATCTAATCTCGGAATCTGCCGCTTCCGGTTCCCCCCATTTCGCCTCCTAATTTACCTCGGCGGTTGGTGTATTTCTCTCCGGCCAGCCAGTTCCTGCCCTGTCGGCGGAAGCGGCGAAACGCCCACCGGCACGGACACCAGCCGCGTTTAACCTCTTGCCCTCTCCCCCCTTCCCCTCCTTTCCTCCGAACGTGCCAGTGGCTTCTTCTTTATCAGGGAGAACGGGACTCGAGGACGTCTCGAGCTGATTAAGAGGAGGGAACGCGTTAACCGCGTCGGAATTGTAATGCGCGTGCCTCCGACCGCCTCCTACCAGTGGCACGCTTCCGCGCGGAATTCATCCACCTGTGCTCTTCACACCGTCTCTGCCTCTCTCTCTCTCTCTCTCTCATGCACACGTACACTGTGTAGGTGTTAACGAGCGAGGGCGTGATCGCGTGACCGACGACCTTTAGCCGTGACGTGACGACCGTGCCACGGCAAAAAGGGCCCTTTCCACGTTCGTTCTCGACCGTGACGTTTGACTTTCGATGATGTTCGCCAAACTCTCGACCTTTTCGTTTCAATTTCTTTCTCTTCATCAACAACGGTGCTGCAACAACGTAGATTTGCGCTAACGAGTCTAAAGATACTTCTCTCGCGAGACTCTCCAGTTCTTTCCCTCTCCTTTTTTATTTTTTATTTATTTTTTCTTTTTTTTCTCAAACAGTTGAACGATGCTCTCGGACAGTAACTCTCAGAAGCAAGAAGTATCCATTTGCGAGAAATACTCTCGAGTGCAACTACTCGCAACTACAGTTCTAACTCTCCAATAGAAAAGTACCAAACGATCAAGGTGATCATCGCGTCGCAAACGCTGAGAGTGTTCGTATTTGTCCCGATTGTCGCTAAACGATCGATATCTTTGACAAGTCGAAGCGTTCCAACCTGTACATTGTCTCGTTACGTAATAGAGAATAGCTTGGGAAATTTATGTCGTAATAATAAAGTTCGTAGACGCTCGGTCGTATGAAATTGGCAGCTGAAAAGAGCACGATTACTTCCGCGGCTGCGGCTGGATTCCCTTTTCCATCGAAAGTCTGTCTACAGTCGACTGCGAAAACTCTGCCGGTGTGTTTCCTGTCCACTTTTCCTCGTCTACGCGCGAGGATGTGCGAGTGACAGCGAGCGCGAAGACACGGGGTGGTACGGGGTTTCCCGTACGCCGAACATCACAAAACGCCGAAGCGTATCGCCGTTTTCTTCTTTCAACTGGTAGCCTCAATCGGCGGTCTGGTTGCGTCACAGTGGCTGGCTCGTCGATATTTTTCCTTTCTCACGCGACTTACTCGTTTCCTGGTCCTTCTGTGCGCCTCTCCTCTCTCTCTGCTCTCTCTTGCCCGACGTGTCGCCTCGATACGCCGAGAAGAATGAACGAGAATGGGAGAACGGCCAGACGTGAAGGTGGGTTTCCATGGGAACGAACCGCGGGTTCCGTGGGTTCTATCGAGCCGGATCGAGCCAGGACATTCTCTCCGATCGACGTCTTTCTTCTGTTTGTCGGCGTGTCCTAGGTCAAGTAATATCGCGCCGCGCTCTATTGTCACAGTGCTCGGTGAAACGTCGGCACGCTTGGCCCTTCTGTTTCCGTTTTTCTTCTACCCGAACGGACGGCCGTGTTTTGCTCGATGCTATCAATTTCTCTGGTATTCCTCTCCGAAACGAACTACGTACTTTGAAACTAGTCGAGAGAATGGAGTCGCGAATTTTCAAGGGCTTGTCATACGGTTCGAAAGGTTCGCGGAATTTATTTATAAAAAATTGCTCGCGTACGGACGTTAATCGTCCTCTGGCTTCTCTTTATTCCCCGAAATGGAAAATATCACGCGGTGACAGCATTTTGCATTCTCGTGGACAGCGAAAATCGACGAGAATGATAAGGGAGGCGAGTACTTTGTGGAAGGTGACATCCTAAAATTTGGACGTAAAATAATTACGAGAGCTATTTTACACGTATATAGATGAGTAGAGAAAAAGTTCGTATCTTCTAACACGAAACAAAGTTCTCACAAACGTGTTAAATATCGAGAAATTAATAGTGTAAAGTTATAAACGACTTTTTGT